CAGCCGCCCCCGCCACCGATCATGTCACCACCCCCCTCGCCTCCACCGCCGCCTGCATCGCCGCCGCCTCCGCCGCCCTTACCGCCGCCTTTCGCCCCGCCACCCTCGCCGCCGCCGCCTCCGCCACCCTCGCCGCCGCCGCCTCCCTCTCCACCTCCGCCCTCGGCACCGCCGCCTTCCCCGCCACCACCCTCACCGCCGCCGCCGTTGCCACCGCCCTCGCCACCTGTATCGCCGCCGCCGCCGCCCTCGCCTCCGCCGCCGACACGAGTTGTCAGCTCGAGCGAGGAGCTCCGTTTGGCAGTCGAAGACGTGACGGCCACCCGCATTGTTCTCGAACCAGGAACGTACGCCTTTGACACGAGTGCGGACTGCACCTCATCATTCAACGGCATAGCGACGCTTACCGAGGAGGGCCAAAACTCCGCGCTGTGCATCTTCCGCGGCCTCGTCCTCGAAGCTCAGGTGCCGGGCACGGCGGTGATTGATGCACGCGGCGCGTCTGCAGGACCCGGTGGGCGCCGCGCCATCTTTATCGACTTTGGGCGTACCAATACGCTCGGCCGTAGCCCCTACACCTCCAGCACGCGCGACACGGTCGAGCTCATCGGGCTGAAGATCACGGGGGGCTACTTACCGTCGAGTCAGAGCAACGCGGCCGTGGACCTCGGTCTGGCAAATGGGGCGGGCATCAAGATCCACCACATCCAGGGCGACGTGATCCTGCGACGCTGTGAGATCTACGGCAACGCGGCCAACGACACCGGCTCCATGGGCGGAGGGATCATGATCGCGCCGTCCTGGAACGTCCACTCCAACGCCCTCTGCAACCGGCCCCGAAGCCGGACGAGATGCGTGCCGTCGACCGTTGCGCTGGTGGACTGCACGGCCCGCGACAACATCGCCGCGCTGGGCGGCGGCGTGTACACCATGGCGGACGGCCTCTCCCTTGCCCGCTCATCCATCTCGAACTGCGTTGCAACGAGCTCTGGAGGCGGCCTCTACTCTGCGTCCGGCCGCACCACTCTGAGCAACGGCACCCTCGTCCACGGCTGCGCCGCCCCGGAGGGGCGCGCTCTAAACCTCAAGGGCGAAGTCTCCTATGCTCTCCCCGCCCCGACTGGCCGCTGGCTGCCAAACGGCCGCTGCGAAATCTTCCGCGCGGCCTGCACATACCACCCAAAGTACCAGGCGGCGCAGCAGTCTGCTTGTCTGGCCCACCGAGACGACTGCTCGCTCACCCTCGAGCCTCGGGCGGAGTGGTACTGCCAAGCACCGACGTTTGTGCAGCCCTGCAATTGGGACGACGCGCGCGGCGGCGACCCGAGCCTCCTCGGCCAGCGTCTCTACGAGCTCCCCGCGTCGCCCGTCGAGCAGGACTTCCCCTTCGCCTGCGCCGCTGGTCTCCTCGGCTCTGACGACCCCGACGAGCAGTCGAGTAGCGCTTGCGCCGGCCCCTGCCCCGCGGGGGCGTACTGCCCTCACGAAGCGACGTTCGAGCCGCTTTCGTGTACGAGCGGCCACTTCTGCCCGCCCGGGACCAGCATTCCGTTTCCTTGCGAAGCCGGGACATTCTCGAATGCCACCAGTCTCACGTCGGCAGGCGACTGCGCGGACTGCCCGCCGGGCTACGCCTGCGCCATAGGCAGCTTGGAGCCGACGCCGTGCAGGTCTGGTACCGTTGCGGCCGGCCCGCGCAACGACGTCTGCGCGCTTTGCCCCGCCGGCTACTATCAGGTCTTCGCCCTCCCCGCCGCCCGCCCCACCGCCCG